GGGTGCTCTGGTGTGGTTTGCTTCTTCTTTCCTATCAAACATCTATCGTCCTTATCTCCCCTTCTTCTTTTTTATGTTTGTTACTCTCTTGTAACACTTCTAATCTTCTGGCGCTCATATGACCGTACGTATGCAGTTGCGAGCGCCGTGAAACCTCTACTAAAACTTAACTTTAAAAACCCCTAAGCAGCTAATACTCACCGCCTGTATCACAGAGACGCACTAGAGCCGCTTTCCCCATGGTGGTGAAGACCTCCACCTCCAGGTGGTCCGATGCCTGGGACAGACGACACCTACACTTGACCTTGTTCACGTCCGGGTGGACCTTCAAGGCCTTCAGGAAGGACGTCTTCCCAACGCCCTGGTCCCCCAGAAGGATCACCTTCATGACGTAATCGTAGCTCGTGGGGTTCTCGTTTGTGTCACATCCGGTGCTGAAGTGTTTGGCGCGCTTCGTTGTCGTCACATCCGGGAAAAAGTGGTTCGTGATGTCGAGAGGGGAGAAGGATTTTTGGAAGGTGGGACTCGACATAATGCAGCTAGACCCTGGCATTTTGTTTCCTTTTTCGTTTTCCAAATTTAAGTGAATATTTTTTTTTCAGCAAAAATACTCGGATAATTTATTTTTACTGATGAGAAAGTGACCTCCAAGTCTGAACTTGGATAACGTATTTCTCTTTCGATCTTTAGAATGGGACTACATAGAAAAACTCTGCTGCTTATCTCATTCACAAACTCTAATTTTCAGCCTGGTAAAAGTTCAACGACTGTATTTATTTTTGTTATTTTAGGAAATAATTTCATCAATATGTATCATTTTTTGACACCATTTAGGACTACATTGTGCTTAACCACAGCGTAAGCCTGCTCAAAAACACAAAATTCTCCTCCCGGTACGCCAAGAGTCTGTGGTCAGTATCAGTCATGCACTGTCTTCTCAACGAAATCTCTATCCATGTCTTTTTGTATTTAAATGCAGACAACGAGACACAATTTTCTCCAAAATGTACAGATCCGAACTGAATAATTATTCAGTTTTATTTTCGAATTGAAAAATTCAGGTCGACTTTTTGATTGATCCTCAAATCTTTGAAAACCGAAGCCGTTTATTCACTTTACTTAACTAATTCCGTTGAGACAGTCCAAATTAAATATGTCACTTTTCGTTCGTTGTAGTCCCAAAACGACGAAAAAACGACGAGGATAGAACAATACTATTCACCAGCTTCAGGGAAAAATGTCCCAAAACTTCAGTCCTATCTTCATACAATTAAGTATCTCTCCTTCACGGTTTGGACCAAACTACACGTAGATCTACCACAATCTGCGAAGGAAACACAAGTCTCACTTTCTCTACTTTCTCTACCCGCGGGTCTTCAGTGCACACTACTCCTTCCCACAATAAAGAACAATCACTGAACACAAGCTCCTCTCCGCCAGCTGATGAAGGTTGAAGGTTGAAATAAAACTGCACGTACGTACGTATCTGGAGTCAGTGAGAGTGTGAAAAATCCAGGTTTTATATCCTGCCTGTCTACCTGCCTGCCTGCCTGTCGATGCCTTTATCGCGAGGCGCGAGCTGTCAGCCCTGTTAGTACTGTAGGCCCTGGAAGGTAAGAGAAAATGAACATGATGTCAACGCTGATTGGATGATTATATAACGGTGATGCAGGTCGTATTACTTACCTGTCAGTCAGCCTGTGTGAGAGTCTTGATAGAGACTGTCTGTCTTCTCTCTTTCTCTGTCTCTCTCTCTCTGTGTCTGT